ATAAGAATGGATACCAGAGCATCAGAAGAATGTGTGATAAAGCAAATATTTATATGCTAATTAAAACTATCAAATTGCTATTGGTCATAAAATACATTTGGAAGCTTGGGGTAAGAAGGAAGAATTATGGTTAGATGAAGTTCCATTCTGTTTTCAACTAAAAGTAAACAAGTCCCAGTGTGTTTTCCTATAGGTCAAATAAAAGCAACGTGTCTTGGATTATCTGTTGTGTGCCAGGTACCTGGCTAAGGGCTTTTTCTCACTTAATCCTCCAACTGCTCTTTGAGGTGGATAATTATTACTATATTGTAGATGACAAAGTCAGGACTTAAAAGAAATTACTTTGCCCCAAGGGTCACAATCCTTAGATACTGGCTGTCCAAGAGGGGAAGAGCTCCACAATTTCTGTCAAAGAAAGCAGTGGTCACACAGTAGTTTTTTGCCGAACTGCTCCCAGAACTAAATTTCAGCAGCCAGCCCTTTTTGTTGGACATTCTTCCTGAATCTTCCTCATAGCACCCTTAAAATGACTAAATCAGGCATAAGTTGCCTTTAGGTTACATAGTCTGGACTATAGGCCCTCTCAGCCCAAACATCTTTTTTCCCTTACGTGGTGCTAAAATTCTGTATGGCCAGGTAAGTACAACAGAGGTTTAAAAAAATAATACGTGAATGAAGGATTTTGAATTTTATAACATAATGGCTAAACTTATAGAACTGTGTTTCCATTCAAATGTGAATGTAGAAGGTATTGACTTAGAGAAGGAAAGGCTTTGGAATGAAGAATTACTGTTTTAGAAAGCAGGGCCATGGGTATGAATTTAAAAGTCTATTTCCTAAAGAGGTATAGGCCAAAGGAATGTCAGAAACTAAGATCATCTTTTAATGTATTGGTTGTTGAGTATTTCTGCTTACCTCCAGTCATTCTGACCTCTCTATGTCCTTTTTCAAAGTGTTCTGACACTTTGATTTGGAATGGCTCTAATGATTCTTTGTACTTGAATGTGGTCTGTCAGGCCATGGGTGAGTGCCTTGCACGTAGTAGACATTCAGTAAACACTAAATGAATGAAGGAATAAGCATCTATGTGATACTAGTAAAGGGTACTTGATTACAAAAGAAAACTCAAAGGAATTCTTTGATGCTGTTATTTGAAACCAGGATTAATAACTCTTAAAACAAGTGTCTCAACATCTGTATTATATGCAGTTACCTTTCAGGAGACATAATTTGACCTGAAGTTTACAAAAGCAAACACTGTCATAGTGGAGATCTGTTATTTAAAAACAAAAAAACTATGTCTTCTCAGAAAAGTTGATGGGTGTATATTCCACAGGTTAACTAAAATATAATCAACCTCATGTGTTTGTCTATACCAAAAATACCTCATCACTCTATTCCGGCATATTTTAAAATTAAGAAAAAACTTCCTCAGTTATAACCACTGAGGGGAAGCTGATGGTTGCCTTGGGCTATTAAACAGGGATTTTTCATTTTTACATACTGTATGTATTGCGAGAGAACATTTTTTTAATCCACTCCTGTCACAGATGAGTAGAAACAGAAGGTGTATTTCTTCATTACATGACTGCTTCTCTCTCTTTTTTTTTTTTGAGAGATTTCACTGACCAAGTATTTTTTCTGAAAACGAAACAAAAAATTTTAAAGCAAAACATAGTCTTAGTTCCTGCAAACTATAATTTTATCTATAGTATAAAATTGCTGGAGGTACAAGTTTATTAAAGCTAGCTTGAATGATTGTTGCCCCGTTTCACTTGCACTTTGGAAAAGTCATTGTTTTCTCTAACTTTAAATCAATATATGGTCATTTCTGTGATCATGAATGTTTTCGCAAAAAATAAAATTACTCTTCAAATTTCTTTATCCATATCCACTTAACCCCAGGAAGCCAATGGAGTCCAGTGGGGGTGCACAATAAGGATCAGTGCTTTATCTACCACTTGGGCCCAGCATTATTAAGATAAGGGGATGGGCAAGAAGAAAATAGAAACCCAAAAGACTATAATGGCGGGGAAAGAACAGGACAGAGTTTGAGAGAGAGAGAGATGGGCAGGCTGGAATATAAACTGTCATACCAAGTGGAATTTTCCAAGATAAAGTTACAATTATGAGGAGATCTTGGGAAGTCAACAGTGCCTGCTGTTTGGCTGGAGACTGCCTCAGTTTATATTTTAGATTTGTAGTTAATACCTGTTAATTTTTTTGGTGCCCCTTTCACTTTTAGAAATGCCCCAGTTTGGATGGTGTTACCTGGTCACCCCATACTTAGCCCAACTAGATTTTTGTACACTTGCTAGGAGTCTGGGTATGTACATAGTTCTATTAATGCTTGATTTTGAGGACTGGATTTGGTAGCCAAGAGTTGCTATGAAGGAAGTTAGTCAAGAAATTCCTTAATGTGAGAATCACACCCAGGCCATGCTTAAGTCCTACACACATATCAAGAAAAATTGCTCTATTTGTGGCAACATTTCTAGGACATTTGCAAATTTTTCTGAGGGGCAAGGGAAATGTACCTTTAAACTATAGACAGGTGACTTTGATTTCTAAGACATTTATGGAAAATTTGAAGAAACCTAATTGGTTTCTACAGGGAGGAAAACTTCCATATCACCTATCCAGTGAAGATTAAAGGCAGCAAAAATAGAAATTGTTAAAAAGGGGACGGTGTAAGAAATTGTGTTTGGGAACCCAAAATGCAAATCTCCATTCTGCTACTTTGGATTTACCTATATTAGTATTTCCTGACTCGGTCAGTAGTCGCTGTTACCCCCCTTCTCCCAAGAAAGTAAACTATGAAATTCTTAGTCCTAATTCCTAAGGACTGCAATGTTAGGACTACATATTAATATTAGAACATGGCTAATTGATAAGCAAGATTTAACTAGTTATAGTCTTAATTTTCTTTGCACAAGTTCCTGATACTATTTATAAACAAAAAAATCCCAGACATCAAGAAGTGGATTTTAATAATGGAAATTTCAAATTTTGGGAAAATCCGAAGAAAAATCATTTCTAGATATTCCTCTCAGCACATCCTTAATTGTGTGCCCCTCCCCATGCTTGTGATGTTTGTAAGTGGGCTAAATACACTCCAGCACCAACATACCGGCCCTCACGTTCTCATGTCAAGTGATTTACCTTATCTAATTTCCTTTCTTTACTCCCCTCTAGAGCGCGGTCCCCAACCTCTTTGGCCCCAGGGACCGGTTTCATGGAAAATTTTGCCATGGACCGGGAGTGGGGTGGTGGGGAGGCGGAGCTCAGACCTGATGCGAGCAATGGAGTGCAGGGAAGCTCCGCGCGCGTCCTTACCCGCCGCTCACCTCCTGCTGTGCACTCCCTCCTTCCACAGTTTCATGGAAGGCAATTTTTCCACGGGCCTGGGGTGGGGTGGGGAGGCAGAGCTCAGACTGTGATGTGAATGATGGGGAGCAGGGAAGCTTCGCTTGCTGGCCCGCCGCTCCCCTCCTACTGAGCGCCCCGCCTTCCTAAATTTTGTGGAAGACAGATTTTCCACAGGCGGGGGCGGGGCTCTGCAGCCCGGTCCCTAACAGGCTGCAGACCGGTCTGAGGCCTGGGGGTTGGGGACCTCAGCTCTCTACCGTTTTAAAGTTGCTCTTCCCATTCCTAGAACTGCGTCATTGTGTTCACATCGTTAATATGCACTAGGTTATTTGTCCAATTCCTGTTTAAATTTCCAACTAGAGTAGTAGTAGTAGGGTCTTAATGAGGTTTTTACTATAGTCGATTTATTACAGGTGACCTAATTATGCTTACTGTGCTTTATAAAGGCGAAGACTTTCAGTTATCCCTAATGAATATACAATAGGAGACCCTTTGATTCCAAATGCTTTTTAATTCTCGACCGACAGCATCATGAGATATATTTAACTCGTGACTTTAGCTTGGTCACGGCGAAAACCTTTTAAACAGAACATTTTCTGCCTCTCTTGGGCGCACTACTGAGGAACTATAGGGATGGAGAAACTAGTCAGACTTATAGTTTTTTGGTAAACCTATTCTTGTTTAAGAGAGTAACTTACGTGTGAATAGCGTGTATATTTTGCATACTTTCACAGCCATTGATCATTTCTTTTAGAACTAAGGAGAGATCTCTAAAGCCTAATTAACAGTTACCTTACCCATTTCTTACCCCGTTTCACCAACCTCTTTGTTCTTTTGTTTCAAGCACCTTTGAGATCCCTTCTGAATTTTCTATGGAAGCTTAAAATGTTTAAGTGCTAAAATAAACTTTTGCTCGTTACTCCTGGCATAGCACTGGCTTTTAAAGGCCCCTAACAGACATACTCCTTATCCTTTCCAAAACGTTTTCAGGGAAAACTTTTAAATCAGGAGTTTTATAATCTGACATAAATTCTGCCACACACCCCTTGCCTACACATCATCACACCGATCAGCCAGACCCCAACGCTATGCCACCCGGCTCCACACCACAGTAAACGGAAGGGCGTAGAACCAAAGCCGCCTGCGGAGCAGGAGTTTACAAAGAGTCACCGACGTCTGAGTGGACCGAGTTCAGCGCATTTCCGAAAAGCGTGCAGTTTGGGCAGATTACGTGTCAAGTGTGGGCCTCAGCCTGCGGCCAAGGGGCAACGGCAACTCAGCCCTCTCCTGTGACAGTTTCCAGAAAGAAATGCTCTTTGAAATAAAGATCCATTGCTTCCCACATTAGCCAGTCAGGTCTGGGACAAACCCTGTACATCTAACCCACCCACCCAAGGACGCAGTCACGTTTGTGCTAGGAGCGCGGGGCGAAAAGAACCTGATAAAAAAAAAAAAGCCCCGAGGCCTCCTTTTGCGCAGGCGCAGAAAAGCGTCTCCCATTGGTCGTCCGGGCTCGGAAGTGGTGGTTGGAAGGGGCTTTCTTTGTACAGACTTCCTTTTCCGTTTGGTTAGGGATTGACGCTGCAGTGCTGTCTAGTCAGCATATGCGGAAGTATTCCGTAGGCCAGGGCTTCAGAATCCGGTGGCTACGTAGGTTTTCTTTTGGCTTCTGAAATCTGTTTAAAGCGGTGGTGCGTTCATCCTCAAGTACCTAGTCTGACTGGTAGGACTGCCAATAATGGCAAACATTTCGGAGCTGGCGGTTGGGGGGCGGTGAAAAAATACTTGATGTAGAGATCCCCCTCGCCCCTGCTTTGGACACCTTTATATTATACATTAATAAAATAACGAACATTAGTACCTTGTCGACAGCGTACCCTTTCAATAGTATTTCTCAAGTATTTAACAAAAGAGAGAGGAAAAACTGAAGTGGTCCAAGCCGTGCTGCTGATTCAGTATATAATTGTAGTTTAAAGATGATCCAGAAATTATAATCATTAAAAACTGTATATATTTGAATCCGATATTTTTATCTTCATTTTGCTGGGCAGAAAACCAAAATACTGGACTGCCTGGTTCAGGACTGGACGCCTAGCCAACCTACTGACTTGGAGCTTCAGATCCATGGCAACAAAGGAGTCAGGAGATGCCAAAGCACAGTTGGCGCTCACTTCATCAGCCAGTCAGAGCCAAGAAGTGCCTGAAAACCCGAACTATGCTCTCAGATGTACTCTGGTGGGACATACGAAAGCTGTATCATCAGTTAAGTTTAGTCCTAGTGGAGACTGGCTAGCAAGTTCTTCTGCTGATAAACTAATTATAATTTGGGGAGCATATGATGGAAAATACGAGAAAACACTCTATGGTCATAATCTGGAAATATCAGATGTTGCCTGGTCATCAGATTCCAGTAGTCTTGTTTCTGCCTCAGATGATAAAACTCTAAAGATATGGGATGTGAGATCAGGAAAATGTTTGAAAACACTGAAGGGACACAGTAATTATGTCTTTTGCTGTAATTTCAATCCACCATCCAACCTCATCATTTCAGGATCTTTTGATGAGAGTGTGAAAATTTGGGAAGTGAAAACAGGAAAGTGCCTCAAGACTTTGTCTGCTCATTCTGACCCAGTTTCTGCTGTTCATTTTAATTGTAGTGGGTCCTTGATAGTGTCAGGTAGCTATGATGGTCTCTGTAGAATCTGGGATGCTGCCTCAGGCCAGTGTTTAAAAACGCTTGTGGATGATGATAACCCTCCTGTCTCTTTTGTAAAATTTTCTCCAAATGGTAAATATATTCTTATCGCAACTTTGGACAACACTCTTAAACTGTGGGATTATAGCAGAGGCAGATGCCTGAAGACATACACTGGTCACAAGAATGAGAAATACTGCATTTTTGCTAATTTTTCAGTTACTGGTGGAAAATGGATTGTGTCTGGTTCTGAGGATAACCTGGTTTACATATGGAACCTTCAGACTAAAGAGATTGTACAGAAATTACAAGGTCATACAGATGTTGTGATCTCAGCAGCTTGTCATCCTACAGAAAACATCATTGCATCAGCAGCATTAGAAAATGACAAAACAATTAAACTGTGGATGAGTAACTATTAATCCCTTTGGAAATCAAGTAGTAGAGCCAAGTTGGCAAAAATTTTTTTAAAAAGATGGTTTCTCTTTAGGCATGGTTTTATATTTCTTTTTAAAACTGTCTTTGATTGTAAGATTTTGAGGCTTATAACCTACATTTACAAAATGAAAACAGTTGGAAAATCATGTCTAGAACTTAGAGCTTCTGACTTCTAATCTTCAGGCCTGTTAGTAATCTCATGTGTCTCTCCCTGGACAGTTTCCCATTCGATTCCTCTCAGTGACTATCCTAGAGGGTCAGTGTATTTGAGAAATATTTAGAAGTTAAGATTACAGAACGGGGAGTGACTAAATGAGGGCAATAAGAGACTTTGGAATAATTCCAGGGTTTCTGGTTTGGAAGATGCCTAAACCAGGGATGGAGGTTTCTTACCAAGAAAAAACCTAAAAATATACCAAAACACAAATGTTGCTTACTGAAGGACCACTTACTACCCTGTTAGATTGTGCTGTCTTGTGATTTTTCAGGCAAGCTATATGAATGGTGAAAACTTATCTCCTTCGTTGTATGTCTGACCTACTGTCTCCCACCCATGGTTCAAACTCAGTTCAGAAATCACCACTTGTGGAGCCATCACTGCTTGCCTCCAACGACAGCTGATAGCTAGTTAGGTGTTCCTATTTCTATTATTTACCAGTTTGTGTTGTAATGCTTTCATCGGCTTTGTGGAATCAGGAAGTATGTCTCTTTGTATTCTTTGGTTTTTATATAGAGAATTTACGTATTCTTGGTTTTTGTATTGTTAAAGAGATTCAAGTAATGTTTGAGGAATGACAGTGACATCACTACTTTATTCATTCCTTGCCTGCTTTTAATAAATTTTAGTAACAGATTCCTAAAACTATCATCATGTTGATTAAAAATAAAAAGCATCTAACCATATTGTCACATACTAACTTTACTCAAATAGTGCTTACAGGAAATATAAAGTAGAAAATGATTTCTGCCCACTTTACCTATGGACACATGATACACAAGCAAAAAATTTAGAAATTAAGCAAAAAAGAGTACAACAATAATTTAACTGAAAGCAACAAGGGCAAAACTGTCTTCTTTTGTAGGTTATAGTACTTTATAATACAACTCATTAAATTTTATTTGCTTGGTAAGTTCTTAGGGGTATGACAGAGTTACTAGTAGGGTATGACTGCTAAGAGGTTGGTTTGTGAGGATATTGGGAGAAGTAGTATTAGTTAGGAGCAGGTCTGAAATTCTGGCCAAGAAATAGATATTTAACCCATAAAGAGGAAGTCACTATACATTACTGAATATCAGAATGACACAAAATGAGAAATGACTGTAAATTCTTGGTGCATGGTAATGTTTGTGAGCTTAATTTAATGAAACATTTTTATTACAGTAAATCTCCGAGATAACAACACTTTGTAATGCTCTTCAGAAGTTAAAAATGGTATTGCTCTATGAAGAAAGATTATGTATTTTTAAAAGAAGTACCACATTAATATCTACCCATATTTAAAACACTGGCATAAGTGTCCTAAAATAATCAAAAAAATTAATCTTCTAAAATGTACAAGAAGCAATGCTTTTTGATAATAAATTTGCAAATGATAAATACAAAAAAGCTTGATACATAAAAAGCAGCTAAGGTCAGATTACTCTAAAATAAAGTATATTGGCAGACATCATTATCAGATAGATTATGAAACTATAGATAGAGCAGTATGTTATTTTACTGCGTATTTTATTAAACTAAGTCCTCAAACAGCTGCATATATTACTTTTTAATCTCTCCTATAACTCTCTGAGGAGAACTAGCACATTGGGATGGCTATATGGTAGTCTCCCCTTATCCTTGGGGGATATGTTCTAAGACCCCCCCAGTGGATGCCTGAAACTGTGGATAGTACCCAATTCTATGCATACTGTGTTTTTTCCTATACATACATACCTATGATAAAGTTTAATTTATAAATTAGGCACAGCACAATGCACTTTCAAGCCATTATTAAGTAAAATAAGGGTTACTTGAACACAAGCACCATGATACCGCGACAGCCAGCATGATAACCAAGACAGCTGGTAAGCAACTAACAGGCAGATGGTGTGTACAGTATGGATACTGTGGATACTGTGGACAGAGGGATGATTCAGGGGTGGATGGAACAGGACAGCAAGAGATTTCATCATGCTACTCTGAATGGTATGCAATGTAAAGCTTATGAATAGTTTCTCTCTGGAGTTTTCCATTTAATATTTTTAGACCTTGAGCAACTGAAATCACAGAAAGCAAAACTATGGATAAGGGGGGGTTCTGGTGTAATGTCTTGCCATCCATTAATACTTATGAAGCATGTGAGAATAAATGAAATGTTTAAAACAGAAACCTATACCCATACCTAAATCAGAGACAACTTAGTATCCCAAAGTCAAAACTAAATGAGATACATACTTGGTACAAATGCTTATCTTTCAATGCTAATAAAAAATACATTATATTTTCATAATTAAGAAATTTAGTTTCTCAGGCAGCAGGAAAAGGGCCAGTTGAGAATTCTAAGCCATGGATCTAAGAGATGATTGTTGGCCTCAAGCAACTCCATGATCCTGGGATTTCTAAGTCCTTAAAACTCCTGGTCAAACTACTCTTAGCACCTTGCCAGGATGTTTTCAAAAACTGGTCTCCTAAAAGCTTCCATCTGCCGGCGGGCCTGAAGATACCGAGTGTGGTCTGGCTGCTGCTCAGGGCTCTCTCTTTTGGGAGCCCACCACCCCAACAGCACTATGGCATTTGGGAAGGCTGGCTCTCCAAGATGTACCTGAGCAGTGTGCTCAGCTGGCCTTTCTTATCTTTTCAGAAATGAGCTCACACAAGAGAGAGAAATAAAGAATTAGAAACCCCCATTTGGGCCTGTGGAGAGAAGTCAATTTGGTCATGGGAATAGAAGTAAGATATGGTACTTGATTTCTCTAAAGAAAACTTAATATTCAAGTTGAAATAAGTTGTTTCATTTTTCATTCTTCATTTTTCTTCAAAAAGCTGAGAGGCTTAATTTTACTTGGACCAAAGCCATAAAACATAGACAAGTCATTCTTTAAGGAAATTTATTCATACCTATATAGCAGAAATAGGGAAATGGTATAAGTTTGTGCAAACTATACTTTTATGAAATGGATCCTCGTAACAAATTCTTTTTAATACAGGCTTGTTGTTGTAGCATTATTCCTCGATTTTCAAAATCCAGCCAACATAGATACCTCTGCTACTCTGTTTTGGCCTTCATAGCTGCTTCCTCTCTCAGACGAGCTTTCTTTTCTAAGTTCAAGCTTGTTAAAGTCTCGTTTCTTTTGGCAGCCTAGAGTGAAACAAATTTGAACAGGTGATTATTTATGCCCATCAAGGGAGGATGCCATTACCTTCACTGATGACAGCAGGTTAACTAGGGCTGCAGAGGTAGGGAGTGGTCTGCTGCTTGGACACTGGGAACAGCAGTCCCCTCCATGTGCCTCTGACTTCTCCTAACGCTTCGGAGAACAGTAGCCCATCCATTCAAGCATAAGAGAAAAAGTGCCACACCATTCCTTCTCTTCCTTTCTGGTCCCTTTCTTTATATCTTTACCTCTCTTCTTCCCTTATTATTCCCATGTCTTTCCTGTTTTTCTCCCCTTCTTATCTTTCATATTAAATACCTTTTCATTTACATTTCTATCCCTTTTTTCTCCTTTCACTTTCCTTGGTTCCTACCGTTTCTCCTTCCTCGGCTCATCTGCATCCTTTCACACCCTTCTAGCTCCACTCTTTTACTGAAAGCATTCAGCTTTGGGAATCCCAGACTTTAACTAAACTACTACCACTGATGACTCCCAGTGCTGCCTATCCTACAACTCCATCCTTTCAGTGAGGGAGGCAACTGTCCTCTTCCGTTGTTTCCCTCCATATGTGAACTGTTACATTTCTACCAAGCTTACATAAACAGACTGATTTCAAGACTTTTATACTAAATAAGTGAAACTAGTACCCTTGGCTGGTATTTTGTTACATCTGTGTAATTCCATACAAAAAGAATTAGGTATGTAGAGGGGGAGGAGAACGGGGAGTGGGAAGTTGATAGTGAGAACAAAACATACAATGGCTAATTTCTTTCTTCCAAATCACATTAAGTTCAAAAGTTCTCCATTCTAGTAGCATTTACCAACTTCTGGGAAATGGAAATTCCATAAAAGGTAAATATTACAATTTTATGGTACAGAACAGGAAAGGAACTCTCTAAAATACATAGCATATACCCTTGAATGATGCTAGAAGAGATCCTAGGGGAATAATTTTCTAATAATTTGGAGTATTTAAACTCAGCTAGTAAAGTACAGAAAAACAATGCAGATTTCTTGGAATTCTAGAAGCACGTATGTCCTGTCCATATACTCCTGTAGGTTTCAATCTGAGAACTATGCATGAGAGGTCAAAGAGGGAGACAGAAGAAAAACCAAACTGGGACAGGAAGAGTTTTCGAGAGAACTTCACCCAGGTCAGCACACTTGCCCCTTCATACTCCCATGAGGTCAGCCTAAAATGGTCAGTATTTCCATTTAACTGCAAGACTTTAAAGAGAGCCAAAAGTTCATTTCCCTTTACTCTGGAGTCTCTGAGAATAAGGAAGTCAGCTAAGAGTGGGTGTGCAGAAGAACCATTTTAGTATCTGATGATAGTTATAAGACATCTCTTTTCACACAGAATCTGTGATATTAGACATCGTATTAAAAGAAGAATTTGACCAGAGCTGCTGAATATAAAAATAACTTTATCTTAATAACAAGATAATACAGTAGTAGGTTTGGTAGCCTGCAAACTTGGGTCTGATTTTTATCTTGTCACTTATTAGCTATGTGACTTTGGTAAAATTATTTAACACCTCTAAGCTTCAGGTCCCTCCTTTATAAAACATGGTAATAAGAGAACATACCTCTTAGATTCTTAGGGTTATTGTGGTGACTAAATGAGTTTAACAGTACCTGCTATATAATGAGCACTCAATAAATGGAAACAATTTTACTATTACCTCAATTAGGTCTAGGTTCACATTGTGGGTCTGCCACTAGGGAAATGTGTGGCCTTGGGCAAGTTACTAAAGCTTTCTAAGCTATAGTTTCCTCATTTGTAAATGAGGTCCTAATAATAATACCTATCTTATAGTGTTTCTGTGAGATTCAAATGAAATATTAATAATACCAAAGTACCTGGAATACAGGGAGGATTCAATTAGCGATAGCTGTTAATTATAATCTGTGTTAAAATGAAGATTTCTAGACTTGCATTCCTGTGTACTGCTTAAGACCTATGGTCCTTAGACATGGCTTAGTTTGGCTGAGCTTCAAATAAAGAACCGTGATAAGAATTCTCACCATGAGTTATAGTGAAGATAAATAAGCCCACGTACCAAGAGTGCTTTATAAATAGGCAAAGGGTTATTAAATATGCCAGTGTCATATTTCTCGATTCACATTATTTATGACATCTGTGATAATAAAAACTTTTTTTTACATTATACAAAATGAATTTAGTCCTTCCAATGCCAAAGTTAGGATTTGCTACTTATCCCCAACCATGATATCCCAGGTTTGTTCCTAATATGTCTTGTTTTGTTTCTTATCATTTCTCATGCAGAAAGTAGCCTCCTCTCAGAGTAAATACAAGGGTCAATCCCTGATTTCCTGCAGGTCCTTTGTGGAGAACATACAGAGGTAAAGAGGAAACCCACTCTCACCTTCTTGCCCTCAACAATCATCAGGATGCATCCTGCCACTGTCAGGGCAATCATTACATAGCTCATCTTCACCCGGAGCTTGTTCTTTGCAGCATCAAGCATCTCAAACCTAATACAATGAGATCATGAAAGAAAGTTAACTTTTCTCTTTCTGAAGTCATAACAGGATAAAAAGCTCTGTGTATAAATCAGAAGTGTAGTGGTGTCTATAAGTATAAAAAAGGAGGTAGGACCTAGAGATCTCATAGGACTTTGCGGGGAGGATGGGGCATTTTTCATAACTCTATATATAAATAGCACAAATTTAAAGTAGTACAAAAGAAGCAGAAAGCGTGAAGACAGAAAAACGAGTCAAGAATGAAACAAACAAAAAAAGGCAAGACATATTAATCTACACTTGCAATGATGGGCCCCAACTTAGGCTTTCAGGTTTCTAGCAGCCTGTGAATGCTAAAAGTGAAACCAGTAAGCTATTTATCTCTCACTGCGATTCTTAAGAAGAAGATACTATGTGATACAATGATTGTCTGAAAACATCCTGACAACACATACTGCAATGAGCTTTGTAAGTTTCAACCCAAAGCACAATTCAGAAAGAAAAAATGGGTTCCCTCTACCCAGCTTTTTGCTGTCTTGAACCAGAGACAGATTTGAGAATATCTGAAACAGTAGAGAAAGTTCCTTTAAGCAATGCTCCTTTATTTTTAACTAATGTTTTGCTAAAATTCAGTGTCAGTGAACTTGAGATTTGGCAAGTGCTTGAGTGTAGCTCTTCTAACCTGTCCACTGAATACAGACCCGTGTGCCTTAACAGAAAGTTGAGGGTTGGATCATCATTCTTGTGTGAAAGCTAAGACGCCTAACATGGAAGAGTCTAAAGAGAGAGCCACTTTACCTTGGTGATTCTGCAACTAGGCAGCGGGTCATGGTTCTGTTTTTAATTTAATTTTTTTTTTTTTTAAGAGAGAGAGGATCTCACTCTGATGCCTAGGCTGGACCTCCTGGGCTCTCCTGCCGCAGCCTCCTGAGTAGCTAGGACTACGGGTGTGTACCACCATGCCCTACAGTCATGGTTCCACTACCTGAGTGTCTGGTAGAGCCTCAAGGCTGGGCATGTGGAGTCCTTATGGGCTAAAGAACTGGCTTCAGTAGATGCGTAAATAGGAATTGATTATCTGTAGATGATGGGATTGGAGTGCTTTTTACTTTTTTCCCCTAGATATTTAACATATATTAGTTTTAAAATCACAGGGGTGAGGGACAGTATTTGAAAAATGCTTGGAAGGAGGCACAGGGTCTGGGATGTTGCAGCAGGAGAAAGACCCTAAAAGCATACACAGCGTGAGGTAAGACCTGAGGCAGCACGTGGATGGAGTTCTCCAGGTACTGCTGGGCCTGTAGAGTGGTAGGAACCAGGGCCAACTGCTAAGCACAGTTAAGTAGTACCCGTTCAGAACTACCAACATAAGGATAAACGGCTGCCCAGGCCCAGAGAAGAACCTTCCAAGATGACTCACTAGGCAGTATTTTGGGCCTAAGTGGATCTTGGAACCAACTATAACGCAGACTGAGGAAGGTGTTGCATAGCAATGTCTATATGGCTTCTATTAGGGCCATGGACATATACCAGTTTATTTTCTGCTGGGATATTTAGGAAGAAATTAGACCACAGGCAAAGAACTTGGTCATTGTTATTTTTGGTATGTGTTTTTTTTTTTTTTTAAACAATATCGCCTTTACTGTTTTGATGGTATGCTCTCATTTCCCAGAAGAATAGGTAGGCACTTGAGCTAAGAATGACCAGGGCTTTCCTGCTGAAATAGTGCTAGTGAAAATAACGTGCGACTTTGACTGGCAGAAGCAGAAAAGCTCTAACAAAGCTGTTGTGAACAGAAAGCAAATACTACCTATCTTCCTGGAAAGGATACCCTTAATGAACTGAGATTTTTTCCATCATGACTTGAAGGCAGAGACCAGAAGGTTAAGGAATAGTTTCTTGCTGAAAGGGAACTTCCAGAAACTTTGTCGAAAGTCCCTGTCCCTGAATAGGATGGTGCCCCACAGGGGAAATGACATCAATTTACCCGAATCTCTCTTGGCCACGATGCCAACAATCAGAGTCTTTAACATGGGCCTGGGGTACCGGTTCTCAGCTGGGGGTGATTTTCTCCCTCCAGGGGACATTTGGCAATGTCTGGAGACATTTCTGATTGTCACCGCTGAGGGAACACTATGGGCATTGAGGAGGTAAAAGCCAGGGATGTTGCTAAACATCCTACAATACACAGGATAGTCCCCTACAACAAAGAATTATCTAGCCAAAAATGTCAGTAGTACTGAGGTTGACAAACCCTGGGTTGGAGGAACCTATACTCATCATCTACAAACTCTGAAAAAAAAAAAAATCTCAAGATCCCAGCCAAAGCTAGGTTTAAGGAAGTTGGCGACAGGAGGCACTCTGTCCTGAATCCCAGAAAAAGAATGTGTGGCATTTAAATAAATTTTATGCCTAAGGTTGAATACTCAAGTGGATTTTGTAGAATACACTTATTGTCACCGGTACCCAATTTATACACCCAAATTAAAAACAAATTAAAAAAGTCACATTTCTGTAACTAGGAGATGAAATCAAACAATCAGTTGACTTCCGAGTACCTGATAGCTTGACTAGTCACAATGTAACATACCAAGACATAGGTTTTCCAACACTGTTTTTATTCCAAATACTTACCAAAATACAGAATATTTAGAGAAGTGAAAAATGTTTTCAAATTTGGCTGAAAGGGTTTGAACAATCAGAAGTCAGAGGAATTGCTTTTCCCTTAAAACAGATCAGTGAGAACTGAAAGCTGCTTACAACCCTAAATTCAGCACTCACGTGACAGTCTCTGGGATTTCATCTTCCTTTTTGAAGCGACCTGACCATATCAGGATCTTTTTCTCCCAATCTGTGGGTTTGTGTAAAGGCACTCTGTGGCTGTAGGTGTCTATGAGAAAAACCAGACAAGAAATCTTACTTATTTCTTATTTGAGATCATGACTCTCAAATTTAGCAACAGAAAAATGCTGTTTGTGTTTTTCAGCCAGTCACTTAACAGACACACTGAGAAACCTCAAGCTACTTAGAGCTTTATTTGAGTGGAATTTCTTGGGATATCTCATTTTCCACATGAAATTCCAAAATTCCATGAGGACTGAGGTAAAATAAAAGCATTATTCCCCAATATAAGCCCCCCCCACTGATAGCGGAAAGAACACCTTGAACAAAGACATGAAAGTAAGGATGAACTAAGAAGGGAACAGTGAGGAGCCTGCCTGCCTTCAGCAGAGAAAGAAAAAGTTTCTAAGATAAGATCAGATTATAAAAGACCTTGAATAACTGGCCGGGCGCGGTGGCTCACGCCTGTAATCCTAGCTCTCTGGGAGGCCGAGGTGGGTGGATTGTTTGAGCTCAGGAGTTTGAAACCAGCCTGAGCAAGAGCGAGACCCCTTCTCTACTAAAATTAGAAAAAAATTAATTGGACAACTAAAAATATATAGAAAAAATTAGCCGGGCATGGTGGCGCATGCCTGTAGTCCCAGCTACTCGGGAGGCTGAGGCAGGAGGATCGCTTGAGCCCAGGAGTTTGAGGTTGCTGTGAGCTAGGATGATGCCGCGGCACTCTAGCCCGGGCAACACAGTGAGACTCTGCCTCAAAAAAAAAAAAAAAAAAAAAGACCTTGAATAACAGGCTTAGGAGTTTAGACCTGATTTGGGAACTATTATACATTCTGAAGCAAGGAAGTTAATATTTCATGAAGATTAATCTGCATGATAGATGGATGGAAGAGAGAAAGGGGGATAGGGCAGAGTGGGCAAAAAGTCCAAATAGGAGATTGTAATACACAGGTGAGGTGATGTGGTATGAACTGGAATTGTAGCAGTAGGAAGAGAGATGAAGTCAGTCTGAGGATGACTGAAAGAATTTAGAGACTGATTAAGTTGAGACAAAGAAGAAGAAATCACGAAGAACCTCAAACTTTTGACAACTAAGGCAACAGCAGTACTATTAACCAAAAGAAGATTACGAAAGGAACCAGTTAGGAAAGGAAAGAACATGAATGCTATTCTAAGATTTGTGGAGTCTGAAGGAAATTTACGCCATCTGAATTGCTTTCATTAAAAGGTTGGGAATAGAGATAGGTATCAGTGCAAAGGGAGAGCCAGTGAGGGTGACGAAGAGGAGCAGAAGGCCAAGGGCTAAGCCTTGGCACATGATCCAAGAAAGGGTACAAGAGAAAGAGGCAGCAGAGGAAAATGGTGTGGGGGAAGGTGGATGAGCAAGAAAAGTACAGAACAAAAGACTGGAAGGGAGAAAGTCTTTCAAAGAAGGCAGAAAGCAGAAGGCACTGAAGTTAAGGAGCAGAAAAAGCTAGGAATCACAGAATGTCAGGGTTAGATGTGGCCTCCAAGATTATCTCAATGCAATGTCTATCCACTGCCTACATCTCCCCTGCAGACACATCATCTCCTTGACTGTTACCGACATGTCACACGCATTCCCACCGCCACATCTTTGCTTATGCTATTCCTTCACCTAATCAGATGATGACAGCAAAAGGAACAGGAAAGTCATAGGAAAAAAATACAGAAAGAACCAAAGACAAGAAAACAGGTTTAGAAGCATAGAAATAGTGCTGCTCTAGTCTTACCTTTTAATCCTTCAAGCACTTGACACAATTTTCTTTACATTTTTTTTTTAAATTTGAAGTAACACATGCCCATTAAAGATAATTCAGAAAGTATAGATATGAAAAACGAAAAAAACTGAAACTCCCCTTAATTCTACTGTCATAGCATAATCACTGTATTTCAATTTTGGTATGCTTCCTAAGTTTTATCCGCCTGAGCATAACCATATATGTATATATGTACATGTGTGTGTGATTTTTATTTTATTTATTTATTTTTAGAGACAGGGTCTTGCTCTGTTTTTATTATTTTTTTTAAATTTTTTAGGGATGGGATCTCGCTATGTTGCCCAGGCTGGTCTCAAGCTCCTGGCCTCAAGCAATCTTCCTGCCTCAGCCTCCCAAAATGTTGGGCCATTCCTGGCTGTGTGTGCAATTTATATGTGTCATGCTTATGCTTACACACAATATAAAAAAAAAGTCTGTATCCTGCTTTGTTCATTAACGTTATGGTAAACATTTTTCATACTAGTACATGTTTATTTTTTCTTCTCTTTTTTGAGACAGGGTCTCATTCTGTTTCCCTGGCTACAGTGCAGTGGGGTCCTCATAGCTCACTGCAACCTCAAACTCCTGGGCTCAAGGGATTCTCCTGTCTCAGCCTCTGAGTAGCTGGAACTACAGGCATGTGCCACCACGCCCAGCTAATTTTTCTCTTTTTTGTAGAGATAGGGTCTCGCTCTTGCTCAGGCTAGTCTCAAGCGATCCTTCTGCCTCCGCCTCCTGAAGTGCTAGGATTACAGGCGTCAGCCACCTCGCAGTACATGGCATTTATAAGCACCATTTCCAACAGCTGCATAATATCTCATCATGTAGATCTAACATACGTTAATTAATCATTCCCTGATTTGACATTTAGATTTATAATTTCCCATTATATATAAAAAATGGGAACACATTTATACTCAAAGCTTTTTCCATATGTAGTGATCATTCCTTGGAACAGATCCTGGAAATGAAATACTAGCTCAAAGGGTATAAATATTTTTAAGCTCTTGATAAATATCCTTTGGGAATGGTTTCTTTCCACTCACCAAGACCTGCCTGGTCCAAGTGTACTCCCAGGAAGAAAAAACAGGAAAATATCACCCAGGACCCAGCAGTTTATATATCATGCCCCTTTTTCCCACAGTGGTGACAGTGACAAGGGTTAGAGTTAGGAATAGGACTGGATGTGGCTGAAGTCAATGCCCAAGCCAGAGCTTAGCCCTGGTTAATATTTTACCCAAAACATAATTTCTTAATTTAGTTTATCTTTGGGATTCCTTAAAAGGTCATCTCTAGACCATTATTTTACTTTGGGGCATCCACACTCCTAGAGACAGCTCCAGTCCAACTGTTGAGGCAAGAAAGAGAAAAATGACAAATGAGGAAAATGAAATCATTGTATGTGTGAGTATAACCAATACAAGTACAATATGGGAGGCCTGACCTACGTGAGAAGGTATGAAGTAGGAACCCCTCTGTTAGGTTCTTTTGATTGTAAGTTGTCCTACTCTTTGGGTGCTACCTACCCCATAAATGGAAAATAAAAACTTACGAGATGGAGCTCTGGAACTTTCCTGTGGTTTGGTGCAAAATCCATTTATTCTCTTCAAATCAGAGTTTCTGGTAAGCGTTAGAGATGAGGAAGCATCTCTTTCACATAACCTAAAACAACTTCCTAGAAAAGAGAGAAAAATATTTCAAAGAAAGAAAATTTGACGTTTTCTCAAAATGAGAAATGCCTGTAATTTATATATTTCATTTATAAAAGTTAGCTCATTTAGAAAATGAATATACTACACTATATGTAAAATACATATACTATATTTAATGTGCTATACTTGGTTCTGTTTTAAAATATAAATGTTTTACTGATTAGGAAATTAGGAATTTGTAATGTAAAAAGTTTATCTGCTATAAGTTTTATATAAGTACTTCTCATATGTGTCTTGTCATAACAGTAATGGCTCTGGTGGCAAAATTATGTATTATGGCACCCAGGCTGTTTAGGTAAAGATCAACAACCTCTCACAAGTGAAAAACCAGGTCATCAAGTTGCCAATACTATTCTGGTAAGCTCTGGGCAGGAGGCTGCAGTGGCCAGCAAGTGGCTCTTGAAAGCCCGCTCATTCCAAGCCATAATAAAAATCAACTTTAGATGTAGTTATGAATTATGTGTTATTTAAAGACTATATATATAAAAATGAGATTTTTTTACGGTTTATTTTAAATAGGTGCACAAATTGAACATGGTTGATGCTGAGTTTTTTTAAATCTACATTCTGCCCTCCCTTTTAAATTTTTTTTCTTGTTATTCATTTGTTGAAGAAACTGTCATTAGTCCTGTAGCTTCCCTCATTTTAGATTTTGCTGATTGCATCCCCATGGTGTTGTCTTACATATTCCTCTAACTCCTCTATTTCTTATAAACAGATTTTTGAGCCTTGATAAAATTCAGGTTAGAATTTTTAGCAAGAATATGTCATAGATGGAACTATGTACTTCATACTGTATCACATTAAGTGGCATATGTCAATTTTGTCTCTTTGTGATACTGAGATTAATCAGTAGATGCTATCAGTCTGATTCACCCCTTATAAAGTTCCTCATCAACTTTTCATGTTAATGTTTTTAGCAGACCATGGTGATTGTTACTTAGAACCATTATTTCATTAGGGGTTGCAAAATGGTAGCAATCTTTTCCGCATTAACTATTAATACTTGGTTATCCTAAGGTGTAAGTCATACAGGAAATGGGGAATAAATGCTTGATTCTTTCCCTTTATTTATCAGTTTTCAAATGAACAAGGTGGTTTTCTTGCAACTTCAACAAATGATCTTTTGTTTGAAGGTAACATACGGAACTCTTGCATTTGAACACATGATGTGCTCCAGCCCATTTCAATGACTCCTTTTAATGCTCTTTAGTCACTGAGAACCCTTCTAAGTTGGCTCCTGAGTCCTTTCAACACATGCTCAGTGTTTATTGATAGCTTCCTTACTTTCTGACAAGATGTTCCAGACTCATTTTAAACGTTTCCTGGCCCTGACATGGAATCACACATTTTCCCAAGGAGCTCTGGTTCCTTTAAAGAGGAAATGTTTTTAGAGACCCTTTAGGGAGGCTCATTTTTGTCACTGCTTCTAAGCCTTTTCAGTGAACGAAGCTAAAATAAATAAATACATTTAAGAAACTGGTTTCAGTTAGCAGTTTTCACCTTGTGCTTTAGCATGAACAATTTTAATTAATAAGTCAGTAATTAATCAAAATTAAAAGCAGAAATCCCCAGATACAATTTTTGATGAGGGTGGGAGAAAAGGAAAGTAATTCTGAGTATGCGGATCGTGGCACGAGAAACCAGACCTGAACCCCAGGGTCCTTGGATGTGGTAGAATGGAACAGAAACGAAAGCTGGAAAGGCAAGGCACCCGTGGTACTCCGACCAGGGCCCTGGCACTACACGATGCTCTGGATGCCCAAGACTTGCGTCTAATGCAATAAGAGTGTGCCCTCACAGCTTTGTGGTTAAAGCTCATTTGCTAGTGGATAAAAAGACTGTACCTCTGAAGTTCCAAAGTCCTAGTTGGGTGTCTTGCAGCCCCTGAGTTTGGAGCAATAAAGGGAGGTGAGGAAGTAGGAATAAAATATGGTTACAGAGGTGTTCCTTCCAAAGATGGGGAAAAACATTATTTCCTCAGTTTTCTCCCTTGCTGTTAAAAAAACCCCAAAAACTTTTGAACATAACAATTTAAAAGACTACTGTGGACTTCTCAAGGGAATATATTTGTGTTTGTGTTAAGATTTTCAAATAGTATTTGTATTGATACATAATTCCCTACCATAATATTCAGTCTTTTATTGAACACTACTATCTAATTTCAGCAGACTTTGATCACCCCAGAAAGAAATCCTGAATACATTAGCAGCCACTCCCTGTTTCTTCCTTCCCCCAAATCCAGGAAGCCACTAATTTACTTTTAGTCTCTATGGATTTGCATATTCTGGACATTTTATATAAATGCAGTCATATGATATGTGGCTTTTTGTGACTGGCTTCTTTTACTTACTATGACGTTTTCAAGGTTCATCCATGTTGTACCATTTATCAGTACTTGACACCTTTTAACTGACAGATTTTATTCTATTGCATAGATATACCTGATTTTGTTTATATAGTAGTCAGTTGATGGACATTTGGGTGGTTTCCACTTTTTGGCTATTATAAATAATGCTGTTATAAACAGCATTTGTGTACAAGTTTTTGAGTGAACATATATTTTCATTTTTGGGGGGCAAACATTAAGAGGTGAAATTGCTGGGTCATGTGATAACTCTATTTATAATCACTTAACTACAAGACTGTTTTCCCAGTGACTGCAACATTTTACATTTCCATCAGCAATGTATGAGTGTTCCAATGTCTTCAGATCCTGGTCCACATTTGTTATTGTTTGTGTTTTAGATTAAAACCATCCTAGTAGGTGTGAAGTAGCATCTCACTGTAGTTTTGATTTGCATTTCCCCAATGAATAATGAGAAAGATCTTTTCATGTGCTAATTGGCCATCTGTATATCTTCTCTGGGGAGATGTCTATTTAGCTCCTTTGCTCATTTTTTAAACTGGGTTATTTGTCTTTTTATTGTTGAGTTGTAAGAGTTCTTTCCTTATCTCATACATGATTTGCAAATATGTTCTCCCATTCCATGAGTTGTCTTTTCACCATCTTAATGATGTCCTTTGAAGTACAAAAGTTTTTAATTTAGATGAGGTCCAGTATATCCATCTTTTGTTGCTTGAGCTTTTGGTGCCATATGTAAGGTCACAAAGATTTACTCCTACATTATCTTCTAAGAATTTTATAGTTTTAGTTCTAACAGTTAGGTCTGTGATCCATTTTAAGTTAATATTAGTATATTGTACATGGAAAGGATCCAAATTTGTTCTTTAGCATGTGCATATCTAGTTCTCCCAGGACCATTTGTTGAAAAAACTATTCTTTCCCCCACTGAATTGTTTTGGCACAATACAGAAAATCAATTGACCATGAATATGACAATTTATGTCTGGAGTCTCAAGTCTATTCCACCGATCTATAACGTCTATCCTTATGTCTGCACCACACTGTCTTCTTTTTTTAACCTCATTCTAGAGTCCAAAGGCACACTGTCTTGATTATGGTAGCTTTGTGGTTAAGTTTTGAAACTGAAGTATGAGTCCTCCAACTTTGCTCTTTTTTTTGTTGTTGTTAAAGATTAGTTTGCCTACTTGAATTTCCTCACGAATTGAAGATCAGCTTGTCAATCTCTGCAAAGAACCTTGCTGATATTTGTTTGGGATTGTGTTCAACCTATGTATCAATTTGAGGAATACTGCTATCTTAAAAATATTAAGTATCCCAAACCATGAACATGGGATGTTTTTCCATTTATTTGGGTCTTCTTTAGCTTCTTTCAATAGTTTTGCAATTTACAGAGTACATGTCTTATACTTCCTATGTTATTCTTTTTAATGCTATCATAAATGGAATTGTTTTTTTTAATTTCATGTTCGGATTATTTATTGTCAATTTCTCTTGTATGCTACAAACTTGTTCAACATTCAGTGTAATAGAGTACGTGTTGTATTCCTTAGGATTTTCTATACACATGATCATTTCTTCTGGAGATAAAGGTAGTTTTACTTCTTTTCTAATCTAGTGCTGTTTATTGTTTTACCTGCCTAAATCCCCTGGATAGAACATCCAGTACGGTGTTGAATAGAAATGCTGAGAGTGGACATCCTTGTCATGTTACGGAAGAAAGCATTCAGTCTTTCACCATTAAGTTAGCTGTGAGCTGTGGGTTTTTCCTTTATCAGGTTGAGAAAGTTCCTTTTTATTCCTGGTTTCTGAGCATTTTTATAATGAAGAGGTGTTGGATTTTGTCAAATGCTTTTTGTGTCTAGTGAGGTGATTATGTGTTTTTGTCCTTTATTCTATTAACATGATGAATAATGTTGAGTGACGTGTTATTCTAACCTTGCATTTCTAGGATATATCCCACTTGGTAAGGGTGTATAATCTTTCATATGTTGTTGGATTCACTGTGTAGTATTATTAATATTTTGAGGATTGCTGCATCTGTATTCATGAGGGATATGGGTCTGTAGTTTTCTTGAGATGTCTTTGTCTGGTTTTGGTATCAGGATAACGTAGCTTCATAAAATGAGTTGGGAAGTGGTCCTTCCTTTTCTATATTTTGGAAGAGGTTGTAAAGGATGGATTCTAATTTTTTTAAAAAAATGTTTGGTAGAATTTACCATTTAAGCCATCTGGTCCTGGGCTTCTTTTAGGGGGGAGGAATTTTAGAATTACTAATTCAATCTCTTTACTCATTATAGGGTTTTTCAGATTTTTTATTTCTTCTTGACTCACTTTTGGTAATTTTTGTATTTCTAGAAATGTGTCCATTTCATTTAGTTTATGTAATATTTTGGCACACAATTGTTCACAGTATCTCTTTGTGTGTTTGGCCACAGAAGTCTCTGTTTGATTATCTTAGTGGTTAGCTAATAATTGGAGAGACTTCCTTAAATGCCTTCCACCACTGAGTTTGCTAGCCTTTGCTGAAGGGCTCTGTGTGCATGCTGGGGTATGTTGTCTACCCTCTGGCAGGCAGTTTGCAATGCTGCCGTAGCC